AACTCATAAATGACTTATTTTACGACTCACTCCCTTCCATCATTGCGTCCTGCGCGTACTTCTCGCAAATCGCAGCCATTAATTTGCTTTTCTTGCTTCTTCTGGGCATTATAAACTTTCTAAAGCTGTTTTAATCATTTTGATTTTGTCAAATATAATTGTTAAAATATTGTACAATAGCACACGAAAAAGTATGGGATGCTCACAAGTTTCATTTTACAACTGTTCTAAAAAAATAATACAAAAGAGCAAATATGACAAATAGCACGATTTGTGAACTCCCTAATTATTTTCTACTTTTTAGTACATTTATAAAAGCGTTGTATATTAAAAATTTTTTTTTAATTTTTGTTTATTTTCTACTTTTTAGTACATTTATAAAAGCGTTGTATATTAAAAATTTTTTTTTAATTTTTGTTTATTTTCTACTTTTTAGTACATTTATAAAAGCGTTGTATATTAAAAATTTTTTTTTAATTTTTGTTTATTTTCTACTTTTTAGTCTTGACTGTACAAAATTTTGTAACAGATGTTAAAATAATTCAACTTGCAGTGAAAGAGAACAGAAGACTATGCAAGCACAATGTTGTTTGCTCACATGTAGTATAAACATACATATGTACATACACACATATAGCAGCAGTTTATTTCATTTAAAGAAATGGCGTGTCGTCCATTTCCGCTGTGACGTAAATAAATAGAGCATATATTTAGGCGCAATATTTAACTTCTTCTGTCGGGGCGACATCTAGAGTCTTCTAATTGTATCTCCTTGATATGATGCCTACAACTAGGTTAATATCTAGAATTTTCCATAAATAGCTTTGCTACATTCATAGTAGGTTCAATCTTTTGCAATGAGCTACAAAAGAACACTCGCTTAAATAACGAAATACACGCAAAGCAACAACACAAACTCGGCTATTTATCCGACCTCAGCCAGGTCGGTTAAAAAATACGCGACCTGAAGGCTAGTGTTGGTAAGTGAAAAAACTGCTCTATTGTGAATTGTTAATGGGAAAGTAGAGAGGGAAATTTTTGCTTCCTTTTATACGTGACTTATATTTTTGTCGGCCGCTGTGGTGTAGTGGTAAGCAGTGCGCGCTTTCACTCATCAGCACCTGGGTTCAAGCCCTGGTCAAAGCAACATCGAAAAAAATATTGAAAAAGATTTCTTCTTAACAGCGGTCGTCCCTCGGCAGGCAATGGCAAACCTCCGAGTGTATTTCTGCCATGAAAAACAGCTTCTCATAAAAATACAATCGCCGTTCGGGGTCGGCGTAAAACTGTAGGTCCGCCCGCTTTGTGTGACAACATCAAGGCGCACGCCACAAGTCGGAGGAGAAGCTCGGCCAAACACTAACATATGTGTAAGCGCCAATCTATTATTATTGTTATTATATTTTAAAAGAGTATGTATATTACGCAAATACCTCGCATAATTACTTATTTAAATTGGTTTTTGTATCTAAATCCCGTTACACTAATCATATTTTCTTGCCAGCTACCAACAGGGTTGCTTAAGTAGCTAAAAGGAAATTTTACCCGAGCTGAGCGTTCTTTTGTCGCTCGCTTACAAATGCATCTAGTATAAATGGTGGTCTGGGCATACAACATTCAAAAACGTGGAGCGCATGCAATACAAAGCATTAAATTTAATTGACAATATTCAAACTACATACATAGCATAGACTTAAAATTTCTACAGCGAAAGTACAAGTCTGAGATCGATTTTAAGCGGTCGTTATTAAAATACCCACATACATACATATATCCCTCTTCAATTTCAAATCAGGCCTATTACATGCACCCCACGCTTTTCATTTTCAATCTCATAAATTTTTTATAATGACTTTTGCTAAAATTTCAAAATCGAAAGATATCAAAACAAGTTGTATGGGACTGAGAAATATTATTTTCTAATTTAGTCCATTTATAAAAGCGTGGTACATTAAAAAGTTTTTTTTTAAATTTATTTTATACTAAAATAATTCAACTTGCAGTTAAAAGAGAACAGAAGACTATGCAAGCAAAATGTTGTTTGCTCACATTTAGTATATGCCTACATATGTACATACATACATATAGCAGCAATTAATTTCATTTAAAAAATGGCGTGTCGTCCATTTCCGCTGTAGCGTATGTAGTGCATATTTTTAACTTCTTCTGGCGAGGCGACATCTATCTCTCTTTCTAATTGTATGTCTTTGATATGATACCTACGACGAGGTTGATATCTAGACTAGGTTTGCCATAAATACCTTTGCTATATTTATAGTATGATGGTCTGGACATACATAATGTCACCAACCGTACTTATTTCGGAAGTAGAGTACTTCTTTTTGAGCCGTTGTACTTCGTACTTCGAAGTACAGTCAAATGTACTTCTTTGCAATATTTTGTACTACCTTTTAAGTAGAGTTTTCTTTAACTGATTCAAAAATTTCTAAAAGGTTAGTCATCTCAGTTAAAAAGGGTACTCGTAGATTAACACATACATATGTAAATTACGACTGTCAACCGCTTCACAACTGTAGCTGACAAATTTTATTGTGACTATTCAACCAATAAAAATGTGTTTTAAGGCCGGTCCACATAGAACTTTCGCGTTGACTTTGGCGTAGGCTTTGGTTTGACAGAACGCACGTTAAAAGTATGCTTGCTACAATGAACGCTTGGCACCGAATGCCTTGGCCACTAAATTAACATACTAACGACAGATAAATTAATATTTCATATCAATAAATTCATGAAAAAAGTATTTTTGGATTGTTCCTCCCTTCCAAGACTCGTTTGGCTTAATTTTTGGAAAATAAAATAAAGAGATTTAAGGTATGAGATTTTCAAACAAATTTTTAATTTATGAAGCATTCTTTATTTTTTATACTACTCGGCTTTCTCATGGAAATCTAATTTATACTCTTATAACTCCAGTCTACATACATATCGCGAACTTTTTTCAAAGGTGTACTAATTCAATATTTACCCCATCTTGTCAATTTAACTGATTTAAATATTTCAAATAGTATAATCAAAAGTATTTTCGACAGTAAACTTTCTTAAACCGCTTTAATTTAAAACCAGAATTGTTATAGTTAAAATATTCCCGGTAGTAAACTTTCCTAAACTACTTTATTTTGATACCCATATTGCAATATTTAATTTATCTTATTAATTAAAAGAAAACAAAAATTTTTAAACAGGTGGCAACGTTCCCCACCAAAATTTTTTGGCTGTGAGCCTTTTGAAACCTCTTTATTTTGACAGTAATATTTAATGTATCTATAAATTTAAGGAAAACTCTAATTTTCAAACAGGTGGCAACTCTCAAATTTTTTTCTTCTTTTAGATTTTAAGTTAGTTTTCAATCAATACATCGGGTAAAAACTGCTTTCTATTCCTATACAGAGAGAGAGACAATCAAAATTCCTAACAATTCTTGATTTGGCTTCTGTTGCTCTTATAAAGACCGCCCATATTAATTTTACTTTAATATCTATTATGTACAGACTTCGGCCCGTGAAAATTTTATTACATGCATAAATTTTTGGAAAATCGGCACGACACCGCTTATGCTCGGTAAGCACTTTATCGATTTCTACCAAGCCCAGTTCATTTATTTAAACATATCACTAACAGCCAGTTTCACCAAACTATTTAAGTGCAAATTAACTTTAATTTAATATTGTATTTAATTCTCATTTAAATAATTTTCAGTTTCAATAAACTATTTATTTAAGTGAGTAAAAAGTGGTTGTAAAACAGACTAGGACTAGCTTTCGCTTTCATTTGTACTGAGAGCTTTTGAAAGCTTTGGCACGCTGTGTTGTAAAAGCAGGGCTGGTATACAAGTAAGCAGCAGTTACACAATGAGCAGGTGATTAAACGTGTAGCACCTCTGAGTGTGGTTATTCTGATTTAACTTTTATTTAAGTGCAGAGCATAGGTCACTTAAATCAAAATTAAAATTGATTGGTGAAACCGAAAATTCGAAAATTAAAGTTAATTTTCACTTAAATAGTTTGGTGAAACTGGCTGTAAGTCTAATTGAGCATATTATGGAAAATGTTTGAAATCGGGGGAAACCCCCAGCTTTTCATATACATAGTTTAAAGAAAGGTGAAAAAAATAGATTTAATCCGCCCCAACTCATACTTATTTATTTGTTAATTAAAAAATTAACTTTGTTGGGTTTGGTACACTGTCAACGTTGTTGTATATTCTGCTTTTACCATTTTTGTCATTACTCTAACACAATTTTTTGTTCTCGGGTCCTGTACTTCCATGAGCTATGAAATAGTTGGTCCCATTAGACATACAACATTGCAAGTTGATAACAGCGTTGTAATAATAAAAATAGTGATGTGTCAACAAATCAATGTTGCCGAATTCCCACTTTCAAAAATAAAGAAATGCATACTAAGTAGTACATATAATTGGGCAATTCACAAGGTGTCGTATTTGTCGTGTTTGTCGTGAAGTCATGATATTTCATGACAGTTGTAAAAATGTTGTTATTGTTTTGTGAAGAAAAATAACACATGACGATACAACTCTGCAACCTATGTTTATTCGGTGTTATGTGAGGTTAAGTGCTGAGATATAATAAATAATCGTAACAGGTGTTCACAACCGTCGTGTTTTAACACAACTTTTGTTAGGAAAATATAACTTCACAACACCTTGTGAATTGCCCAAATATAAACAATATGTATATTTCCCCAAAGACTATCGATAGTGGCCAACGACCATTCGATAGTGCAAAAAAATAGAACCATTCGATAGTATCGATAGTACCATCGATAGTTTTACAGCTCTACCAAAGAGGATCTTACAAGAGCAAGATTACGGGGAGGAGTAACTGCACAAAATTTCAAAAGAAAAATTTTGTCGAAGTGACAGCATAGTTTCGTTGAAACACTAAAATGAATATTCCAATGAATTAGAGAAAATTGTTGTTTCAAGATTATGGCGATTTCACCATCTCTTGAGTCCTGCAAATGAAGTTTTACTATCCAAGCGAACAAACAGACAGTATTCAAAATAATTTATCAACATGCAAAAAATTATCAGGTGATCAATTACATGACTTTTATTTTACTGAATTAAAACTCTTAAGTATTTGACTGCACTAAACTCAATTGTAAACCAATCCATTAATTTTAAACTTTGTCTCTTTACAGACGTTAGTAAAATTATACCCATAAAAAATCATTTTGGAGACCCCGGCCAATCTCATTTTACTACCAAAAACAATACTCGTGTTATCGCGCAGAAAGGTAGTTTGGCGGTTTTGCCATGTGTCGTCAAAATAAGTTCTCCAGCCACAGTAAGTAATATAAAAAAATGCTGACGTCAGTAGTTTATTTGTACATAACAATCACATACAATAATAAGTATACAGGAGGTGGCAAATTCACGAAATAAATATGCGCCGTTTATTTCGAAAATAGCATTAGTCATTTCATGTCGTTTGACTTCAGTGAACGCGTCTGTTATTTGTTCAACATTATAAGCCAAAGGTAAATAGTTTGGGGGTGTCTATTCGCACTTTTCCAGTGTCACCAGTGTACCAGTGTCGGAAGTCTTCGGCTCCGCCAGTGTCGCCAATGTGACCAGTGGCACCAGTGTCGCCAGTGTAACCAGTTTTACCAGTGTGACCAGTATCGCCAGTGTCACCAGTATAGTAGCAATAAATTATTAAAATAATTAAAGTGGAGCTCAGAATATATTTTATTTATGTATGTTCTTTTAGAAAGCTTTTTGAATAATGAAAATTTTTGAAAACCGTAATTTCCTTTTAAAATTATTAACAAAAAAGTAAAATAAATTTAAAATTAAAGGTACTCACAAAACAACTAAATTTAATAAAAATATGTATGTGTAACATATTTTAATCCTACATTACTCCCCTTTCGAGAGTTTTGATGTCGATTAAATTAAACGTAACTTTTTATGCCCGAGCGCACTTGTGCACAAGGTAGGTTGGTTTTGAAAATGGGCGAAATCGGACAATAACCACGCCCACATCCCATATAACGGTAATTTTCGGAAATACGAAAACTGCGATATTTTAGTAACTACCGACGATTATTCACTCAAAATTGATATTTGCAACAATTTTTAGACGAAAAATAAGAATATTATAAATTTTTGGAAAATGGGCGTAGCCACGGCCACTTATGTGTATATCTTGGTAACCGCTGCACCAATTTCTTCCAAACTTAGCACGGTTGTTGGCTTTGGTACAGCATACTAAATGGCCGAAAATGTAAAAACTCGGACAATAACCACGCCCACATCCCATATAACGGTAATTTAGAGAAATACAAAATCTTCGATAAATCAGTAAATATTAAAGTTAATTTATTCAAAATTGGTGCTTGCAACGATTCTTTACCAAGAAATACGTTTAAAGTTAAATTTTGGAAAATGGGCGTGGCACCGCCCACTTATGACCACATATATATATATCGGTAACCGTTCTATCAATTTGTACCAAACGCGGTATTTTTGTTGTGCTTGCCACATAAAAGAAAAACGTGGAAAATTATTGAAATCGGACTAAAATTACGGCCGCTTTTCATATAACGGTAAATTTCATAAATGCTTGAAACTGCAATATTTCGAAATTTAAGGACGCTAATTTACTCAAAATTGATACACTCCGGCTTACCATCTAGCGGTAGGTTTCGGAAAGGTGAAAAAACATATATTTAATACTTGCGCCGGGTATTTAATGTTCGGCTCCACCCGAACTTAGACTTTCTTACTTGTTTTTCTTTTTAATTTTGCATCATTAATGCGACTGTTCGTGTTAGTTTTCTGTGTAGTTTCAATTATAGCTGGCTTTCACCTATTAATTGGAATCGTTTTGACTTCACCATTAATTTCTACCCTAAAATATTTATTATCTCTTTCAATAACTTTTTAGAGTCCTTCGTATTGTTGTTGTGATGAACATTTATTTATGGAATGAACGAAAACAATATTACTGGTTTGAAGGTCCTTTGGAATATAAAAACAAGTGCTAGAATTTTGATGAGGGTTTACATTTGAATTAACATTTCGAAAATGTTCACGTAAACAACCTAAAATCTCAGTTGAAGAAAAATTCTCCGTTGATTGAAAAGCAAGTTCACCAAGTAAACGTAAATTTTGTCCGAAAACCATTTCAGCAGATGTAGCTGAAATATCTTCTTTGTAAACTGATCGTAATCCGAAAAGTATTATCGGTAGTTCATCACATAACCTTCCGGCTCCATCTCTGGCCATAATAATAGCTTTTAATTGCCTCTGAATTCTATCAACCATACTATTACCTTGCGGATGGTATGCAGATGTTGTAATATGGTGACTACCGTGGAGTGCAATAACGCCTTTATTTCCTTTAAAAAAAGACATAAAGCCCGCGGGCGTTATTGCATTTTCGAAAAAGAAATTAAGCCCGCGAGCTTTATTGCCTTTTGCCGGTGGGCATTATTTCCCTTTCGATATGGCAATAACGCCCGTGGGCTTTATTTCATCTTTGTTGTGGCTCTTGTCTTCATTTTGGAATATGTACATCCAAGATCCCCTGTTCTAAATAAAAACTAACTAATATGATGCCATTGAACTAAATATTTGTTTTCCTTTATTATAGGAAGAAATTAGAATTAACAAATTTCAATGCATATATTTAATACATATGTATGTACGTATGTACATGTGTATGAAAATTAAATAATTCAAAGTTTCCACAAAAAAAAGAAACATGAAAAATTAAAAAGTTAAATAAATACTTTCGTCTAGTGTGGAATAATTTGACGGCATATTGTACACAAAATGCCACTCTTACCATTTAGATTAGTATGCCTACTGTGCTTTGCAAAGCAATCTGTGCAAAGTTTAAAATGATTGGCCGAGCTTCTACTCGGATTGGCGGCGTGTGCCTTGATGTCACACAAACCACACAACCACGGATGATTTATGTTATTCTGACCTTTACTCATTTTTGTTGTTTGCGAAAGTTTTAAGTCGCCTTCTCAGTTAAAACAACCCGTGCGTTATCCACATCACTACAGTATTTCTGCGGCGTGGGTACACAAACAACCCCAACTTCTCGTCGTACATTCATATAGAGCAAATAATAATGTAATTATATAAACAAATAAATTTTCCGGGGTAATGGCGAGGGGGGGGGAGCCTGTTGGCGCCATCGCGGCCGTCCGCGTTGGCGCGCCACCACTAAACCTAAGACGCTGAGAACAAATATGCGCATCGCATTGAAGGCTAAAAAATAGTAACAATTTACCTTTAATTTCCAAAAATTCGCTTATCAGTTATACCGTTCGATTTTATGCGTTTACTGCAGAAGGGAATTTAGCGCAGAGCTACACTGTATGCAAAAATAGAGAGCAGTTCGTTTAAAGTACGTTCCATTTTATGCAAATGTGTGCTTGTATACATAATTGGAATGTTTCAGTAAAATAAAGCCAGAGAAAATACCTTTCAGGGGCTTTATTTCCTTTTTTATGAAATAAATCAAGCGGGCGTTATTTTCTTTTCTTTGGGAAATAAAGCCCGCGGCCATTATTGCTTTTTCGCAAAGAAAATAAAGCCCGCGGCCTTTTTTTCCTTTTATTTTTGGCGCTATTTCCCTTTCGAAATGGAAATATCGCCCGTGGGCTTTACTGCACTCCACCGATGACTACCTAGTAATTTAATTCTTCTTCTTCTTATTTGGCGCTGTAACCGCCTAAGCGATTTTGGCCGAGTCCAAAACAGCACGCCAGTCATTTCTCTTCTGTGCTAACTGACGCCAATTGAAAAAAAAAAAATTTATTCGCAAACGTTGTAGCCGAAATATCTCTTAATGCACATACCTCTGGCCAGCGAGTAAACCTATCACTTATTGTCAGAATTTAAGGATGACCTTTTGAAACAGGTAAAGTACCAACAATATCTAAATGAATGTGTTCAAATCTAGCTTTTGAAATTGGAATTTTATTAATAGAAGATTTCGTGTTACGATGGATTTTCGATTTTTGGCAACTAACACACTCTTTGGACCATATGTTGATTTCTTTGGTCATTTTCGACCATAAAAATGTTTCAACAATAAGTCGACGCGTAGCCCTTGTACCAGGATGTGAAATACCATGAAGCATATTAAAAACCTTCTTATGTACATTAGTTGGTATATATGGCCTCGGATCTTCCCCTGTTATCTAACACCAAATATTGAAATTTAATAAAGGAATTTGAATTAACTTTCAATTTAAATATTTAGATCAAATTTTCATTCATAACACTGCAATAAACATTGATGACCACTTGGGTGGCCTTACTGTATTTGCTATATACTGCCCCCCTCGTCATAACATAACAGAAAACAATTTAATTACTTTTTCCTAAAGTTTGGCAGTAAGCTTATTGTAGCAGGAGATTACAATGCCAAGCACACATTCTGGGGATCTAGATTGATTACACCAAAGGGTAGAAATATATATAAAGTAATCCAAAACAGAGAATTTGACGTCTTCTCTACTGGTCAGCCAACGTATTGGCCATCTGACCCCCAAAAAATACCCGATCTTATTGACTTTGGTGGAACAAAGGGTATTGCGCGACACCGAGTTAATACTGAAGCCTTATTTGATCTCTTTTCAGATCATTCACCCTATCTCATAACATTGTCAATGTTTATTAATTATGAAGAAAAACAAAAAAATCTTACAAATAAGCACACAAACTGGTTAAAATACAAAAAGTGTGTCAGTTCGCACATTGACCCGAAAATTCTTTTTCGGACCAAGAATGATAGCGACAGGGCAGCTGAACATCTCACTGATATAATAGTTAAGGCCGAAGAAATTGCAACACAAAATCCTTCTATTAAACATCGCAGTTCGTACTGCCCTGGCCTGCACACCCCAAACATTCTTAATTTAATAAGTAAAAAGCGCAAATTAAGAAGGGAATGGCAAAGAATTTGGTCTTCGAAGCTTAAACAGGAGCTGAATGCGTGTACAAAGGAATTATGTATTTTGTTGCAGGCGGAAAAAGAAAAAAGTAAGCAGTCGATCCTTAAGTCCTTTTCTGCTTCGAAACAGACTGACTACTCCCTTTGGCGAACACTGAAGCATGCGAAGAGGCCCGTTCTTCGAGAAGCACCATTACGTACTCAGAACGGAAGCTGGGCGAGGAATGATGAGGATAAAGCAAACATTTTCGTCTATCATCTTTCACAAGTCTTTAGACCCACTGAAGGCTCTCATCCTTCCATTATTGCAATACTCGCCAGTAGCCTTACCACAAATCCGCTTTTGGTTAAAAAGAAAGATTTAA